TCCCCATCTGCGTGGTGATAAGCAGCAGTCAGGGCCACAGCCCTTGACACGTGTAAGCCCCGTTCGCACACAGGCATCCAAGAAGGGACGGCTGGGAGCTCCCCGGCAGCCTGCTGACCGCTGGGGTCTGGCGTGGGAGAGGAAGATTGTATGCGTCCTAATGACAGTTGGTCTCTGTTGCATTGTAGTTCGTGGGGCGCCTCGGTGAAGGCCACGGTGAAGGGGATGGCTCTCTTCCTGATACCTGTGGAAGGAAGCCTTTGCAGGGCGTATTAGCGTATGGATGCAGTGTTCATCTGCTTGGCATGTAGTAAAACTTTCCTTCCAGCTCCTGGTTGTTTATCCTGCTGGTTGTCGAGCACCTGGGTATTTGGAAATGTCTGGACTTTTTTTTTTGTCATGTGGAAACCAAACTTTGACCTTTCACCTTTCACCTAGGTGTTTTGGTGTCATCATCCAAATGAAACCCCACATTCCCAGTTGTCACCTGAAGGGAGCTGGGGGTTAAACAGGCACTTTGGAAGACTGAGGTCACAAAAGAATTCTGAAAGAGACCTGTCTGGGCCTCCTTTTGTCTTGTTGGCGGTGAGGGGGTGTGGAATGTTGGAGGGATCCAGTTTTTGCATTACAAGTCCAGGAGTTCAGGCCATTTGCTTCAACCTGCTTTGTTTTGGCATGGAAATGTTATTTTAAAAGGGCTTCAGTGAGTGTAGTTTCAAAGCCCCATGCTCTCATTCTGTTCCTTGGCCAATGAAAAAGAAGGAGTTCCACAAAGATTTGGCCATGGGCAGGGATGAAGAGGCTTGTGCGTGTGCAGGTTGGTGTGGGACCTGTGTCCTCTCTGGCTCTCGTGTTTCTGCCAGAGCGCCCAGTTCTGCAGACGGGCAGCCAGTACTGAGGCGAGGCCAGGGGGGCTCCGGTTCACTATCTTTGGGGGTGTGGGGGGTGTGTGCATGAGGATTCTGTTTAAATTTGAAAGTGAAAATGAGAAAAAAGTAAATACTTGTAATCCTCCCACTTAATTATATAAAGTATGTTGCTAACAATTTAATATATTTTCTGTCTGGTTTGAGCTGTGCTTGTACAGACACACTTACAGATTCAGGCCCATATACACCACAGCGCTCTGTGTGTGTTTTCAAAATGGGATCGTGAATATACACATCTTTGTATGCAGCCCACTTATTTTTTCATTTATCCGTAACTGTTGATATCTTGCCAGGTTGGAACGAAAGACTACCTCCTTTTTTAATGACTGCGCTATTCTGTTGGAATCAGCTACCCATTCGTAGATACGGGATGAACTAGACATTATGAATGACCTCTTGACGGATGCCTGTGTTTTGCTGTTACAGGCAGTGCTGGAAGCAGCAGCCTGGTCCCTGTGCCTTGAAGTCATCTTGCTGTTTTCTCAATAGGCTCGATTTCTAGCAGTAGAATTAACCGCGTCAGAAAAAAAACGTGTGTGTTGCTCATTTTAATAGGCACTACCAAATTATTTTACAGGAAGGCTTTTCTCCTTTTAAGTTTCCATCCTCTGTGCGAGCCTGTGTTTCTCTGTTACCCTCCTGAAGAACTCAATGGCGTTGATCTTTCTAATTTTTGTTAATCAGCTGGTGAATAACAGGGTTTCATTATTGGTTTAATTTGCATTTCCTTGATGCTAATGAGGTTCCATGTCTTTTCACGTGTTTCTTGGGTATTACATTCCTCTTCTGTGGAAGCAAAGCTGGTGTCTGTGCATTTGACCCAACGGGCAGAAACAACTGAGCGCTGGAAAGCTGAGGAATTCAGAGAAACACGTGGAAGAAGATCTCACATTTCCATTGGAAGGGTCTTTTCTGTAGGTGTACGCTGAATAGTTACAAAAAAAAAAAAAAACACCACCAAAATCTTTGTGCCTCTGCTCCCCGCCTTAAATGGAGTTACTGTTTGTAATCTTCGCTGCTCCTTAAGCCACTACTGCTAATGGTAGGATATCCCCTTCACAGTTACCAAGCAGCCCCACCGTTCATGGCTTTTGAGGCCACCCATTTGGAAAGTGCCACAGCTCATAAAGTTGGGGATTGGCGGTTATGTCAAGGCACCCTGCTGGAGCAGTGGTGGAAGAAAATAAATATTAACAGTTCTGTGTGGGGCAATATTGATTGAGTACTAAGGTCTCTGGAAGGGCAGGAACACCTGGTTTGGTAAATACCTTTCTCCTTGTGAAAGGACTTTATAAATGTTAACTTACTAGTGTTTGTGGTGCATCTGTAGGAAGTAAATATTCAGGAGCACCTGCCCTTGAAGAGCACTCTTACGAGGGAAGCCATGGCCCCAGGGAGAGACTGGACGGCCCGCAGGCCTGGGGTTACAAATGGCAGTGGTGTGCCAGGCCGCGTGTGCCACGATTTACTGTCATGGGCAGAGGCGGACGATGCCGTCCCTGTCAGTTCAGCTTCAGCTCCATGTGGAATGCTCCATGTGCCAAATCTGGATCCAGGCGCAAGAAAGACATGGACTGTTTGGATGGGGTCCAGAGACAGGCACTAGCCATGATTAAGGGCTTATGGGCATGACATTTGAGTAAGGGCTCAAAGAACTGAATATTTACAGCAGGGCTAAATGATGGATTATGGGGCTTGGTGACGTTGGGGCCTCTGGCTTCACCCCTAAGTTGCCCTCCATGTGACCGGTCCCTCAGAGGCCAGGGGAGTCCCATTCCTGGTACCCCGGGGGCTTGGGGAGAGGGAAGGTCTCATTGTGGGCTCATTTGCCTTGAGTTAAGGAGCTAGCACTGCCTCTCATGCTGTGATCTCACAGCTCCAGGGCAGCCCGGAGGCCCAGACTCAGGGTTTTGATTGCCCTGGAAAATTTAGCACCCACATCTCCTCCTTGAGGGCACCCCTTCGATATTTTCTGCGCAGAAGGTGCTGATCCTTCCTAAGAGGAGGTGCCTCTTGTTTTGGTTCTGCCACAAGCCCGTGGCCCAGCCGGGAGCAGAAAGTGGCTCTTCTCCAGTGCAGTGTAGGCCTGATATGCCTTGACATTCATTTCACTGCCAGATGTTTCACCTGTGACAGTGAGACTGCGTGTCTGCCACCAACTCCCTGAGGCTGGACTCTGGAACGACCTCCATGGTTATCCAGGGGGGTTGGTGACAGGCAGCAGCTGAAGCACAGGGACTGTCTGCTCAGAGCTCCTTCTGAATCCACTGCTTGTGTTCTTGTTAAGAAGAGTCCAGGTTTCCCCACCATGACCCTTCCTGAGACTGTCGATGATGAGCCATGATATTATTATTATTATTTTAATCCTCACCTGGGAATATGTTTATCGATTTTAGAAAGAGGGAGAGAGAAACATCCATTGGTTACCTCCTGTATGTGCCCTGAATGGGGATCGAACCCGCAGCTTTTTGGTGGGCAGGATGACATTCCAGCTAATGGAGTCACCTGGCCAGAACAGTGATCTTATTGTTACTGTGTTTTATGTTTAATGTCTTATTTTATCATCCTGGTATTGCATTTTATTTTAATTTTAATTTTTATTTTTTGATTTGAGAGAGAGAAGAAAGGAGGGGGGCAGGGAGAGAGAGATCAGTTTGTTGTTCCACTGAGTTGTGCCTTCATTGGTGGATTCTTCTTGCATGTGCCCTGACCAGTGGTGGAACCTGCAGTCTTGGTGTATCGGGATGATGCTCTAACCAGCTGAGCTTCCCGGGACAGGGTGATCTTGGTTTTGAACCCCACTCTGCAGTAATGGCTTGGGTGGAACTGACGCCTGGCATGAAGAGGAGGGTTGTACCGTGGCTGCTCCTAGAACCTCGAACCTTTGCTGACTGCTTTCCAAGCGGACAGCTGCGTATATAGCAGAGCACTCACAAGACGGCTTTGTTCTCTAGTTCAGTTCCTTGAATCACTCGTGTGCTTGTGAAGTCTCTGCTGGTATTACTGGTTTTTATGTGACGAGGGCAGAAAGCACTTGCAATGCTTGGGGGATCATTCAGAAGGTCAGTTGAAATTCCTGAACCGATAGTTAAAATTAGCAGGCCCTCGCTCCCCGCCCCCCCCTTCCATCTCTCCAGAGTGCCTTATCCAAAATACCTTTAAAGAATGATTCGGAATCGGAGAGAAATATTAAAGCCTTAAACCCAAAGATGAAATCTGCATTTGGTCCTCATAAGGAAAAATCATGCTTGCTTAAAAATTTGATGGGAACATGAGAGTCCAGTCTGTTTGCATGTTGACAGAACTGTGGGTAGGAATCACAGTACCTTATTTTCACATATGCTGCTTATCTTTGAAACGTCTCAAGGAGTTTATAAACAGATGGATATCCAACTTAAGTTTCCTAAGGATTCATTGCTCCCATATTTGGAATTCTGAGTATATTTCTCAGGAATATGTAGCATCTTTTCAGTTCCCACCAGAGATGAGAGCTGAAACTTCTTGAGGCTTCCAGGTAGCGTCTGGAGGCCGTGGGGGGAAAAATGAGAGGCTTTCCAATCAGAAGGCTGCAGGTACAACAGCGCCTCCCTTGTGGGCTCCTCGGGAGAACTGAATCAGCTGAGGCGGGAGCAGGCACTCAGGGCAGGGCCTGGAGTATGGAAGGTGCTCCCTACCATCAGCCCCGGACGGTTCTTTGGTGCCATGGGGCCGGGTGGGTGAGCAGCGTGGTAGGTCATCTTCCCTGGGCACTGATCCTGTGTGGTACTGAGTTCCCAGCCCCTCAGCTCCTCTGGAAGATACTGTCAAACTTATGACCCTAATAGACTTGCTCCACACGCTCTTTGGTGTCTGAACATGTCCATATCCGTTTGCTTGACATTCGCCACGATCATAATTGCTGTTTTACTCATCACCATTCTGAGTCCTTACTATGGGGAAAATTCCGAATTCAGGGGACAGACTTCTCTTTACCTTCCTTGTCTTCCCGCAACTTTTAAAATCAAGAAAGCAAAGCACCTGGTGTTCTGTGCTGAGCTTGTTAAATAACCACCTCTCCTTTGATCTTTTTAGGTACGAAACCAGCATTGGAGCCTTATTATGGAAAGTGTGGTCCCTTCCGACAAAGGAAATTACACCTGTGTGGTGGAGAATGAATATGGGTCCATCAATCACACCTACCACCTCGACGTTGTTGGTGAGTTTCCTTCCCCGGAGTGGCAGCTATTCATCAGCCCGCTGCACGCGACTCATTTGGTTTGGGGAGAGTCAGTTCGTTTTCCTTCTTTCTAAATACAAGCTGTCATTTGAGAAGGATGCCTCTGTCATTTCACAATGTTCTGTTTCCTGATAAGCCAGGCTGTGTGTGTTTTGCAAGATCCTCTTGGCTCCCAAGCGTCATCTTGTATAAAATGGACATGGTTTGAAACTTGCTGACGTTCTGGAAGCTGAGATTGCTTTGAAAAATGTTAGCGCGTGCAGGCAAAGGGCACAGCTACGCTGTAGGAGGGCCTGTTTCTAAAAGAGAGGCCCCATTAGGTAAAGAAAGGCAACTGTATGGTGCTGGTTGTGAGTAAAGGGAAACCTGCTTGCTATGATGACTGAGCTTAGAGCTGGCTGGGGGGCTGTTTGGTTCCATCCGAAGAAAGTCTTAGACACCACAAGTTCAATGTCTGTCCATAGCAGCTGTTTCTTCTGTGAAAAGGGAATGGTGTATATGGGCTTATTAATACCTTTTTATCAAAGTGCTTTTTAAATTGAATATCTTAAGACCATATAGCCCATAGTCCTGGGAACTCACATTTCTTCCTGGCTCGCCTGTTACAATGGGTTTTTTCGTTAACGATTAAGAAAGGGTGTTTCTCTGTCTTGTATGAAGATTGATAACATATGGAACTAGGCGGAGGACTTGTCTCATTGTTGCAGGGGTGCTGGGCTGAGGTCTTTTTTTTCTTTTCTTTTTTTTTTTTTGGTAGAAGCCATTTTTTTCTCTGTCTTGTCATCTGCCCTGACTCTCAATATTGTCATCTTGCCTTGAGTCTTTGCTCTAGGTCACCTAACCATATTGGCCTTTTCCACGTGCAGGTTGCTGACTCCTGCTGAGGTCTCAACTAAGAGTTGAGTCAAGTTGGGTCAAGAGTTCACGTTGACTCCTTTTGCCGAAGGGATTTTCCCTTTGTGGTTCTGCAGACCTGTGTCCACCCACTGAGTGTCCACGAATGAGGCTTTTCTCCATCAGTAGAGCATCATCTCTGAAGAGAGACGCCCCAAGATATTTGACTTGCCCGAAGAGGCATCAAGAAACTTTCCAAAAGCTTGATTCACCAGGTTACGTAGATGTGGTTAATTGAAGATTTAGGTAAACTGAATAAATAGAAAACCATTTTGATTTCCTATCAAGTCAAAGTAAATTAAATCCATAAGAAGCTCTGCCATAGAAAGCATAATATGGTCTTTATTTCCATTTGTGTTTAAGTATTCAGTGAAAAGAGTATTTGTAACATTTTATTTTGGTTATCTAGAAGGTTTTTAGATGCTGGAGGTCCTGTGGATGTTCATTAAAGACAGAGATGTTTATGGCATGTTTCTTAGTGAGAATCAACAGAACAAACAGGGAAAGAAGCCTCAGGTGTGAGAAGGAAGTGGTTCACATGCGTTTTGGTGCTGATGTCCTATAAATCGATAGCTCGAAGAGCACATGACTTGGATTTCACTTTGGGCCTCATGTATCCTGAATTTGACATGACAGTGTTTCTATTTAAGGAGAGTTTGGGGCTAAACATTCTAAATGCATAATCCTGAAAAGAAGTAATTTATTGTGGGAATAAAACAATTGTAGTGTAGCACTTTTGGGGGATTACAGCGTTGCTTAGGCCTACCAGTCATTCCCTGGGGTTGGCTGGGGCCATGCCAAGAGTCAGGAGTCAGAGCCCGGCCACTTCAGCCAGGGGCTCTGGCTCATAGCAGGTTTTAGGTTGAGTTGTTATGTAAAACATTCAAAAGCCCCTCACCCCACCGCCCTTTTGAGCTTTCTGGCAGCTCATCTCCCTCTGAAGCCCTGAATTCTCTCGTAGAGTTTAGGCTTGGATTTGAATCGGGCTGCTGAATAATGGAATTGTGCTGTCTAATGTTAATCCCCGGGCAATCGGGCTCGTTGAAAGGAGTGCATGATTCAGTGGTGTGATGCACGGGGAGCGTGGAGTGTATGGAGTAATGCAGAGAAAGGCCCGATGATGTCACAGGTTTGGGAGCTCGCCCAGCGAAACGTGGGCCAATAATGACACAATGCTGGTTGGGAATATCCATTAAAGCTCAACCCTAATAATTTTCCAAGCCTTGAACCCTCTTTATAAATAGAAGCCAAAAGTCAGTAGAGTATATAAGACATTTCAGGAAAGATGGAGGTGTGAAATACTCTCATCTTTGCTCAAAACCCTAGTAATTACTTTGAAAAGCACTAATAAAATAAGAATTGAGTCAGCTAAAGGGCCTCATACAGACTTACAGGGTTGGCAGTCAGTCCTTCTGAACATCTCAGCATGGGAACAAAAGGGGATTCAGGCTTGAGCAAGAACTTGCTGGTGGCCCACGGGTCCACGTTTAATATATGGCTGTGTGATCACAGCTTCGCAGCTACGTCTCTGTTTCATCGACAGTCAGACTGGACCAGCGAAAGCTCGCTTTCTCCGAGGTTTTATTTTTGTTGCTATGATACATAGGTTTGTGGTTCAGATATGATGAAGCATCGACACGGGTGAGATCTTTTTATTGAAATTCTTCCTCGGCGAGGCATTCCCATAAGCACTTTAATGTAAAAGCCGTGTAATTTAGGTGACATTCTTGTGTTCTGGAATTAAATAGGACGCCATTGTTGCGTGTGAGGGAGGTGCTTTCGTTTGTGGGAGCCCTTTTAGGAGCCCCGCGTGATCCTCATTAAAATTGACACCATTACTTTTTAGCCATTTACTTGTAGGGGAAAATGAGCGTGAAGCCCCTCATGTCGGTAATGGCGGCGATCCTAAAACGGCTCCCGTCAGAGAGCCAGCTCCGCGAGGTGCTACGTCTTCGCCCTCGCTTGTCAGTGAGAGAGGCTGAAGTGCTGGATTCTGGCCAGGGCCCTGCCACCAAGAGGCCGCAACCTTGGATAAGTCATTTAACTTTTCGTTTCATGATCCTTACGCATCAAAAGTGAAGGACTCCCTGTTAGGAAAGGACAGCCTGGGATTGTGCAGAGAGAGGAGGAGATATGCCAGCCTACACTGTGGGCAGCAAGCAAAGTGGACAGTTCCTTAGCTTTTCTGAGCCTCTCTCTCCTCTTCTGTAAAATTGGAATGACGATACTTACCTCTTTCCTGGGATGGTTGTGTCAGTGTCCTGGGGCTTCCCTAACAAGGGACCACAAGCGGGGCACCTCAAAACCACAGAAGTGTGTTCTGTCTCAGTTTCGGAAGCCAGAAACCTGAAGTCAAGGGGCTCCTGGAGTTGGTTCTTTCTGGAGACTCCGGGGACGAAGGCATTACACGCTGTCGTCCCAGCCTCCGCTGGCCGTCGTCAGGCCTTGGCTTGGGGACGCATCACTTCAGCCTCTGCCCCTGTGGTCCTGTGGCCTCCTCTCTGTGTTTGTCTCAAACCTGCTCCCGTCTCCTCTTGAAGGACACCTGCCCTTGGGTGTAGGGCCCACCATACCTCCAGGATGAAGCAGCTGGAGATCCTTAGTTTCAGGGACCTTTTTTCTAAACGGCCACATTCGCAGGTTCCAGGTTTAGGGCTCATGTTTGGGAGGCCATCACTCGACCCACATCCATGGTTGTGGGGATCAGTTTGGGTAACAGATGAAAACACCAAATTGACACCTAGGTGGCCAGCCACTGGTTCCCCCCCTCTGCCATACCTGGATGCTGTGGGAACTTTTTTAAAATAATTTTTTACTTTTCCATTACAGTTAACAGACTATGATATTAGTTTCAAGTGTACGACATAGTGATTAGACATTTACATAGCTTACAGAGTGATCACCCCCAGGATATCTGGTTTCTGTCTGACACTGCACATCTTCGATAATTTTTATTAGACTCAATGCAAAGTTTATTAAACTGAGTGCCATGTTGGGACCCACGGGCAGTGGCCAGTGGCCAACGTCCACGTGTCCTGCGGAGGTTTCCGCCTTTTGGGTCGGTGCTGTCGTCCAGGCTGTCCTGGGACCGATAGGGCTGCTGCACTGACGGGGAGGGTCGTAGGTTCTGGGAGTTCCAAGTTCTCTGACCTGGCCTCCATCTCCCCTGCCCCCCCGGACAGTTGGGGAAATTTGGGCTCGGGGGGGTGGGGATAATCGACGTGCTACGGACTTGAAGGAGCTCCAGAGCCAGGGCTTCCACCTGGGTTTTCTCAAATCCTAGATGAACGCTCCGTGCGCCACGGGCGGACGTCTGTGTCTTAAGTTGACTCTGCTGAGGACCAGCATCAATCGGCTGCCGCGGCCAGGCTCCAGAAAGGTCTGTTCTTACCTCCAGTCCCTGTTCAGCTCTTTGTTTAAAAAAAAAAAAAAAAGTGAGAGAGGTGGAGGAGATGGAAGCGTTCAAAAGACAGGCTGCTCCTTCTTACTCATGGAAGCTTTGGCTTTGAATTAGGAGCTGTTTTTCTTTTGGGGGCGCACAGTTCTGCCTTCCCAGAGGCCAAGGTACCTTTGGAGCTTTTCACCCGACATTGGATATTTTGGGGGACAGAGCACAGTGGAGGTGGAAATGGTGCCTCTGGATTTGCCAAGGGTGGCTGTGCCTTCTCATCTGTCTAACTTTCCAGAAATGTGTCCCCCTGGGCCAAGAGCTGTAAGCCGCAGACAGTGTCTTGGGGGCTGGGTGGCAGCTGGTCAGGGGCCAAGCATCCCTTCGGGCCGCGCACAGATCACTTCGGCCTCCTCACCAGCCCTGACTTGCTCGCAGCAGATCAGAATGGCGCTGTCGTCTAGCCCTTGACGTAAATCCGCCGTAACTCGGCTCCAGACATGATGGGACGCAGCCCGAAAGCTCGAAGGAATCTGTCCCGTGTTGACGCCCCCTCAGGTGTGTGTTCGGGAGGAGGGGAGCGTCTTTCTTCCAGGCACTGACTGATAAGCCCAACTGTGGGCTTGACACCTGGCACCGAGCTTTTGGCAGCCCGTCCCCAGTTGGAGAAGGAGAAATTGCGTAAATTGTTTACCGC